GTATAATAGGGTAGTCTACTCGCCCGGGTAGTCTACTCGCCTAGGAAGTACGTTATATACCTAGTATATACTTATTTATATCTATTAATTCTATTATAAAGACTTAATAAAAAAAAGTCGAGTATAGTATATACCTATATTTATACTGTGGAGTTATGTAATTTTCTTAAAATTGTGCCAACTACCCCCCCCCCCCCCCGAGGTTTCTCCGGACTGGGGGGGGGTGAGCTTGAGTCTCACCCCTGTGAGCTGTAAACTCACCATGACGGTGCCTGGCCGCGTACTGACTCAAGATCTTATGTCAGCATCAACGCTGTTGCCCAATTTTCGGTAAGTCGGTGGATTGACTCGGTCAGCCCCTCCTCCTTCGGTCAGCCCGGGCTAGTGTGCTTATGTGGCCCGTGCATCGGCAAGGGTCCCATCCCACACAATCAATCATTTTCACCCAAAAAATCATCCATTGTATCGAAACCTCTCCGACGACCCATCCGCGACAATCGAAAATACCCTCCAAACCCCCCCCGGCAACCCGTCAACACCGTCAAAATGCCTCAGGAAATCGGAGACATCAAGCAGGTATGCTCATTCGAACCGCGGTAACCAATTTGCCTCGGACTGCTCGCTAATTTCTGTATTTCTAGTTCATCGAGATCTGCCGCCGGAAGGACGCTTCTTGTGAATAGCCCCTCCCCCTTCCGCTCTTCGCTCTTCGCCCCAAGACCGAAAAACGACCACCAGTCATTCGAGAGAATAGCCCACTGACCAAGGATGAAAATCAACAGCCGCCCGGATCAAGAAGAACACCAAGACCCAGCAGACCAAGTTCAAGGTCCGCTGCCAGCGCTTCCTCTACACCCTCGTCCTCAAGGACACCGACAAGGCCGAGAAGCTCAAGCAGTCCCTGCCTCCTTGTACGTCCTGAACAGAACCACGCCCGCCCATGCTCATCTGCCGCATTCGTGCCCCGACGACCGCGCGCAGGGAGCACCACCCCACCCGCCCACAAACCACGACGAACAAGAGGAAATGAAAACTAACACCAGCACAGCTCTGACGATCCAGGAGGTCGGCAAGAAGAACAAGTCCAAGTCCTCTTAAGCGCTTCAAATTCTTTGTTTGCGGGGATGAACCACCGGGAAAGAGGGAGAAATCCGATCATGGGACACATGGCGAAAACGGCGAGCTGGTGAAATGGCAGACACGGGGCTGACACCGGGGAGAGGAAATGCCGGATGGAAGGGTCTGACGGACAAACAATCGATTCTGATACGGTATGGGCGTCGGGGGAATACCTTCACGGCGGTTATGACATGCTCGGACTACGGCTGTCCATGTAGCAAGACATGCGCCAATTGACCAAACGAAATTCAAGCCATGCTCGGCCTCCTTTTTTCCTGGACTTTTTCTTCCTTTTGGAAACAAGTTGCGACAAACCAACGTCCCGGGGACATGTTGCTCTCTTTGTCCTGCGGTCGTGGTTCTTGAAATGCTCCCACCCCACGCTTGAAGTTCAGATGATTCTCTTATAGTGCCGAATGTCCGCCGACGAAACGAGTTTCTGCAGCTCCTGGAACTCGGCGTACCGTGGGTGCTGCCCAGAGGACATGTGCTCGTCCACCGACGCCCACCCGCAGTACATGACAAACTCATCCCGCCCCGCCTCTCTCTCATCCTTCTCGATCCGCCACGCACCTCGCAGAGGATACGGACGTGAGACGTCTTCGACGACATCCTTCGTCTCGTCGAATCTCCGTTGGAACTCGTCTCTCTTATCATTCCCGACGCTAAATCGCCCGACGCTCATGACCGGCGCCTCGAGGAGCGATCTCTCGTCCGGCCTCAGACTCGTGAAAACGGGGCCCTCGAGGTGGAAGAAGACGACAGCCCTCTCACCTTGCGTGTCAAGATGCGGGCTGAGATCGGCCATGACGGACGCGTTCTCAGCCGAGGCAATCCACCTGCCGTGCGCCTCGGGGGACTCCCACTGCGCCGTGAGCAGGAGAACCGTCGGGTCCTCGAGCTGGCGGTACATGGACGTGCCACGCGCCGTACGGTCTGCGGGTAGAGAGGGGTCGTCCTTCAACACCCATGCATCTTGGGTGGCCTGGCACCTTTCCAGCAGGGCCAAAAATTCGGAGCCGAGATCATCTTTCGCTGTGAGGGGGAGGATTGCGAGCTCGGAAACGACCATGGCGGCAGACCTGGCGAGACGTCTTTCTGTGTAGTGTTTGTGTGTGTGTGTGTGTTTGTGTGTGACCTGAACGTTCTTCTGTAAGGACGGCGAGACATGGACATTCGCGACATGTTGGATTGTAAAGTGATCACTCTAGGTCAATTTACCTCACATCGCGACCCAACTATGACGTGGACAAAGCTACCTGGGACCATCCACCCCAAGCGCGTCCCCAAGTCCCAAATCCTCCAACGCCCCTCAGCTCTTTCGTGCCGCCGGTACCCGTCCTCTCTCCATGTCAGCCACTAAGTGCAGGCCATGCGGACAACATGCCGCTCACAGGCCGACGGCATTCCTCGCCTTCTTCAACTTGTCAGAAACCGCGAGACAGCGACATGCCACTCGCAATGCGCCACACCTTCAGTGCCGCTCCGGCGAGCGAGAGAAGTCACAGCGAGTGCTTCATCAGTCGAAACTGCGAGTTTTATGCCTTCTAGCGCGTGCGTCGCTGCGCGTGATGAGTGTTGATGTTGCAAAGACTAGGCATTGCTATCTTTGTGAACCCGGTCAGATCACTGATATGACTGAGCATCTTGCGCAGCGATTTGGACCTACACACCCCAAACAACCGCGCACGCGAAAACTCGCCGCGTGGGCTCGTTCCAGTGCGCCTCCACGTGCGGCCTTCACTCGGACAAATTCTCTCCTTCTCCATGCGTAACGACATAGCTTCGAGGCTGGGTTACCGTCAACGCTCGAAATGAGTGCTCGGGGTTGCGGGGGGACAACATTTTGGGGCGGGACCAGCCCTTCCCACTAGGCCGCAGTTTTCTTTTCTTTTGCTGCCCAAAACCCATCGGAGTGCACGAAGAAGAGGGGAGACATGCAGCGGAAGCTGCTGCAGCCGAAGCGGGCATGTGAGGAGGGCGCAGCGTGGGCTGTCAAGGATCGTTCCCATGCTGCCACCCTCGAGGAACATGGCTTGACCAAGTTGCTGTGCTTGGCTCCCGTCAGCGCTACCAGCTCGTCTGGAGGACCTGGCTGAGCGCTGCCTTCTTGGCATTATGCTGCTTTTTCCATGGGCGGTGGCAGCTTGCCTGCCTGTCTGCGGGATTGGACATCAGTCATGATTTGCAATCTGCAGAGTACATTTCACATCTTGTCCGACACACTGGCAAGTAGGCTTTTCATGTCTGGCTACCTACAATCTTTATCCCCGTTGTTTTCTCCTCCTGGAAAGGTATTGTATACGATTTTTACGGCTCTCACATCCAAGCCAAGGAGAAGTACAGGAGAATCAATAGAATACAGAACACGCTTGAGGAACCCGGAGATGTTTAAAAAAGTCCCCATATCAAAATGATCCAGCCCAATGCCCCTCAGATGAGTCGCTTGAAAAAGCTGGAAACCTGCGAGGCAAGAGTCATCTGTGAATCTCCAGAAATATCAGTCCGTTCCGTCTCGCTTGATTTCCTCCTGGACTGCATCTCTGCCACAAACTTGGGCCACGTGTTTGTCAGAACAAGGTATTTGATGTGCGCCTGCGCAGCGTCAAAGACAGCTGGGTTAAAGGCAGCAGGAATGTCGCCCGTGTACTGCGTTTCAGTGAGCAAGTCGTCCTTGGAGTCGCTCTGTCCACGACTACCATGGGATGGTGAAGGGAAGTCGAAAGGAGTGGCGGGATTGACCACCGCGTCGCCGAGTACCGTGCGTGTAGAATGTTCAAAGATCTCCTCGAGCTGTTTGAGCTGCTGGGAAGGGAGGTTGAGAGGAAACTCGGCATCACGCATGCTGATGAAGTCGACGTAAATATCAATGGCACGGTTGTACAAGATGAGGTTGTTTTCCTCCGTCACCGCATGCGTCAATGTTGACTTCCAGCGTGTGACACGGGTGAGGAACGCAATGTTCTCGCCGGAGAAGTCGCTGAGAGCAGAAAATTCCTGAAGTGGTTCCGGGTTCTCGTTGAGAACATGGTCGAGTGCAGCCATGGTCAGGAGACGGTTGCCAAGCTCCTCATCCAAGTAATCAAAACTCGACGCCTTCTCGGCGAGGCTGATGTTCGAGTTCTTTCCTTCGATAGACGTGGACGTTCGGAGGGTCGTTGTTTGCGAGGATGTCTCCCACTTGGCGTTGAGTTCGGCAGATTTCTTGGCCATGCGACGCTGCTGGACAACCTGGATGGCAGGAATGATAATCGTGAAGATTTCGAAAAACATGATGGACAGATGGATCCTGTGGTCATTAGCACTGGGAACTGGTCGAGGCGTCATGCGGTCGAACAACTCACCATTGACTTGGAGGGTAATAGGGGTTGATGACCTGGAAGGCAGGGACGTAGCAGGCAATCATGAACATGGGCGTTGCATGAAGACTAGGAAGGTCAGCAGCTGGAAGACCCATCGCGAACACAAGATGCCTACCTTGCAAGACAGCAGCCGACAGTTTGGAAACGCCAGCCCATGGTGTCACGAATCCCCCAGGCTCGGTAGAGAAGAATAGGGGCAACCTGTGCGTCAGGGCGTCAGCTCAAGTCGTGGCTTTGGTGAAGCTCATGTTCTCACAATCCAAGTCCAGATGACCTGCCACAAAACAGAGGGCCACCACTCCCACCCCTGACCAAGATCAATCATCTGCTCCATGAGGTTGTCGCCCCGGATTTCGGTGCCGGGAATGCCCCAGGAAGGGTGGTACTTCCTGCAAGCCAACCACATGCCGGTCGTCAGGAGGATCTTAGGCGTGTCAGTGGAAAGCACAACTAGTCAGAGTGATATGCCTACCTGTAGAACAATGCCGAATCCGATGGGCAGCATAATCTTTTTTGTGTAGCTCATGTTCCTGAATCTGCAGATCCACGAGCTGTCCGCGCCGTTGCAGCCGCTCTTACTTCGGAGCTCAGGCTGCATGTACTGCTTCTGTAGTTTGGCCACGTGAAGGAAGCGGCTGTTGGAAGCATGGAACAGAGCAACGCCGAGTGGAAACCAGATACCCATAAAGAAGTACTGGATGCTGTAGGCGAGGATGACTGGCATGGTGCCGCCGACAGGATACACGATCTGGGCCAGAAACCAGTAGCAATGGAGAAAGAAGATGGCGCCAAACGACAAGCCCACTCCACGGTGCCTGAGAACGGGGTTGGTCCTATTGAGCCAGCCAAATGCCATCAAGGAGAAGACTATGGTCGTCCATGTCAAACAAAAGGTGACATAGAAGATGCCGATGTGATCGAACCGCGGCGGAGCTGGCGGGAGATTGTAAACGGTGAGGCCAGCCATGGGATCCATGTTGAATCGTCGTCTACTGACAGTTTGCTGACGAGCGAAGGTCGAGGGGGGAACTGTCGACGACGGAATGGAATTGAATGGAGAAGGAGGAGTGCCGTCAGCAGTGGTTAAATGCGACGTCTGGCTCGTTGCTGTCTCAAAGCAGCGTGCCAGACTGTGAGGCGGGGCACACCAGGAAAGCAGGGTCTCGAGCCGTGTGGCTTCAACGCTGCTGTCTTGTCTTTCCTTCTGTTCATCTCAACTCACTCTACATCGGACCGAAGACTAGGACGCGGGTTTGGACACATTGGGACGGACAAGAGGAGCCAAGCAGTTCGGTGGTGTCGGAGTTCTCCATCAGGATCATCGATACTAGCATCTGATCTCATGGTGGCGGACCTTGCTTTTCGAGCGGTCCAGTCCTAGGCGTTTCGACGAAAAAGCAACTCGGCAGTAGGGACATCCTGCCTGCCAATGGCCATGGCGAGGAGCGTTTCGAGTTCGGTGCTGCCAAGAAGACTTGTAAGACATTGCGTTTGTTTGCCAGCATGGACTGAACGAAGCCTTTTGGTATCCGGTAACCTGGTCGTGGCATCCGATGACAACGGGGTATACCCGCGTGAGCGTGCCGCGTCGTGGGGCTGTTTGCTATGCAGTGCCGATCGCTACTTGCCTCGATCATGGATCGTGGCCTGTGTTTGACTTTCGCATCGGATCGGCAATCCAAAGTTCGTTTGCCGTCTGTGCCTGGGATGCCAGGACGCCCTAGTATGATGACGACGTTTTGATGGGGAAAAGCGAAACCCTTACGTAGACGAGCGACGATGGGAGGGAGTTGATGGCAAGGAGATCGTGAGATTGGAGACTCAGACGCGAGACACGAGGTGGAGAGAACAGTTTTCGCATGAACTGGCGTCTTTCGTGATTGAGAAATAGCGTTGCCCAGGACTCAAGACAAGGGAGCAAGCCGTTGTACGACCCAGACGTGGATCAGTTTCTCGGCGGGCTCAGAATCGATAGTTTCTTGCGGACTGAACTCGGAGACCAGGCAGCCGGAATTGCGGACAACTGTGTAGATCCAAACAGATACCACCTTTTTTGTTTTTCCATGGCTTGACCATCAACGAAGGCATCGTGATGGTGTGTACAGACGGTGATGGCCATGCCAAGGCTGACCTACTTCCCTAGGTGAGGTGCTTTGACCTTTGATCGTGATGGCAGCTGAACATGCGACTCGAGGCTTAAGGTTTGTGGAGTGGCAGGGGCCGTTGAGTGGCAGCTTTGCTAACAAGGTGCTGGCTGGAAGGTGCCTCGCACCTGCGTCTTGCTCAACATGGCATTGGGCGCATGTCGCATCCATGATTACTATCGAGAGAAGGTGCATTCAGCCCTCGCCCCTGCCTTCTGAGTGCCCCTGTTTGCGAGGGGTGTCAACTGCCAGCCTGGCCAGCCTGTGCCGGGTACCTTGCCAAGCTTGCCTGCCTGACTGCGGGCACTAATCATGTGCGTGCGGGGCATTTAGCTCTAGGCGCCGCAAACGCTCTGCCATGGCCACGGACGAATCGATCTGTGAGGCTTCATTGCTTCTTTTCCATCCTATATGTTGTTTATTTTGCCGTGGCGAGCAACGCCGTCTGATGTGCGTCACTTGCCCGCTTTACGCCAATCGATTGACTGCCCGACTGCAATGCCATGCCACGCGAGGCTTTACGATGTAACGCCCATTTCGGACGACAGGGCGCGCCCTTGGCCTCCTGTGTTGCTCATAGGCTGTTCTGGTCTCAGAGCCAGCAACAGTACCCAGCCATGACTAGTCCGATTCCTCTCACGGCGACTTCTTCGCTACATTGCCTTAGGTTGCGCATCGTAGTAGCACGGGTCCCGCCACGGTATAGATAGAGTCACTGTCTGAGACTCTTCAGGATCCAGTCCGAGGTGATGAGCCTGGCAAGAGCCTTCACCGTAGGTACAAATTGGACCCGCCCCGTGTATGCTCGGACGGTCGTGCCGTTCACGGCCCGGTTAGGGTTCTTGATCCATTGACGGACAGTTCTATCGTGCTTTTCTACCTACTAGTTCGCAGATCTTTTGGTTCGAATGTAGGATCGGACAAACCAGTTTCCCAAAACCCAGTCTGAACGCTCGCACCCAACAGAAACACGCCTGAACTCGATCGTCGGCGCTAGCCGAGAAAATGCGTCCCGAAAGTTTCGTTTACGACATCATGTTTGGCCTTGGTGACGAGGATCGCTACTCTGGGATTTGGCGGTATCAGTCAAGGTCCTGGCGGCTAATCGCCATCGGATCAAACCTGTGCCAGCTGGAATTCCGTTCTGCATTGACCTTAGATTCAAATTGGCATTGGGCTAGAAAGCTGACCAGTCATTTTGGCCACCAGACATCTAAGATCCTCCCTTCGGAGGACGAGACCTCGCTTTGATACCTGGCCCCAATGGTTCTGTTTTGACCCTGAATCTGAACGCCTCGGCGCATGCCTTGGGCAAGAACACGACGCCCTGCTCGTGTTTGATACTGGGTTGTTTCGGGGCCTGGCCATATAGAAACTGTTCGATTTACTGTCCGCGCCACAGCCCGGTTGCTCAGCCTGGCCCGAGTAGCCAGGAGCTGTTTTGGTCACCGGTTGCGTGTGTCATTTGCACAACACATCCAGTCAGGCCGGTTTCCTAGTCGCAATATTGCCTGACATTTAATGGTGTTTTTTGAGACCCAAATTGAGTGGTATGAGCGACCTTGGCCCGATCAACTCTGTGGTGCTGGCAACCGTCGCTTGCGCAATGAGGCGGGAGGCGAATTGTCCTTGGATTGAAGGTGGCGATACCTCTATGTAGCATCACTCTCACAAAACTCGGTTGGGCTCTTTGTGAGATATTGTGGCTCAGATTGGGTGTCCTATCTTCCCTTCGTGCATGACACAGAGCTCATGGCTATCCGAAGGCAGTACATTTTCGCCAGCCCGTATTGTTTACTTGCGAAGGGTGAACCCCGGAGCCGCGAAAATTTCCCACGCACTGGAGGAACTGTATATGTCTGGCCGGTGGGGGGGGGGGGGGGGGGGGCGGATTACTCGGGAAATGATTGTTACCTAACCTGGTTTCCCAGACTGCTCTAGACAATAACACGGGCTGGCCGTAGTCGTTGGGACGCTGGTATCTCACAACCGATCTAGGTCCATTACGAGAGCTGAAGGCTCAAGACCCAAACGCGCTGATGTTAAAACACCTGTTTTTGAAGATACAACCAGTAGAGGCGTGAGATCCCTTGCGGTGGAAGGGTGCCCGTCATGACAGGCGAGGAGCAGCTTCTCGCAATGCTCGTAAATCGGCGAAAATGACGGCGCATATGCGTTCCTTCTGTTTGTCGTAGATGGCAAAACGCTCGACCAAGCCAGTCGTGGTCTTGCTCCTAAGCCTCGGGGAGCTTACGTATTTTTCCAGGAAAACCCCTCGTCCATGCAGGACTCAAATTTTGCTGCTACGTGCATCCCTGACAAATGTCTCAAACTTTGGACCGCTGCGTGAGTGGCACCCATTCATAGGTTGATTGTGAGTAGGCGACGGGCTGTCCGAAACCAGCTCCCTCTCCCAACATGTCGCCAACCTCAGAGGCGAAGATTATGCAAGACGGGGCAACAATGATGGTTACGACAACTGTAGGTAGTCATTGATGACTGTCCCGGGTTGGACACATGACTGGGGCCTGATTCGCTATGAATGCTGCCCAATACATATCCTTTTGGTTTGATTGAACGGTTTGAAGGTTACGGCTGTGTGAAAGTGCCACCAAGGCCGCCCGACTGGTAAGATTAGTGAAACTGCTATAGGTACAGCGGCCACAGCGGCCATGGTAGCAACAGTGGCTTTGACCGTGTCAAAGTAAAGTAGATACGACATCCCACAATAGCCAGAGTCGCCATGATACAAGTACAGTAAATTGAATGCTGTGGCCACTTGTCAATGCTTTGTTTGGAGCAGAGTGAAGGGGGCTGCCACACGTGATCCGCAGGCAATAGAACATAGGCAGGGGGTCGCAATGCGTCTGAATTCTGGCCCTCCGTTGTCCTAATATACACATTCGATAGCGGCATCCGTATTTCAGAGGTGGAAACGTGTTGTACCCCTCAGTTTGGGCAATGATGTGAAAATGTTGATCTGAATGACTTTTGACTAGTTGAGACTTGCGACTTAATGTATAAGAGAAGCAATGGAAGTAGCAGTAAGGGTAAGACGCGAAGTAAGATACTGACAGCCCGGATGGTAATAATGACCATAGACGTCTACTAGCGAACTTCAACGTCAAAAAAAAATCGAGTTCTTTGTAAAAAGCCCACTGGATCTTGCCTTCCGAACCGTGGCTACTTTGACATCCTCCCCTTAGCATTTTAAAGATCCAGAAACTGAAGAGTACCCCCACAGTTGTACACCAAAACCTAGTCAGAAGCGAATTTTGCTCCGAAATTGTTCTTACAGGCTTGTGTCAATATTTCATGTCGGGATTGTACTCGTCGAGCTGGTTGTCAGATTGCCATAAAGTCTTCAGCTCAGTCTTCGTAGTTTGCCTGAGAGTTGAGTCAAGTCTGGCAATATATCGATTTCATTGAGTTCCAAGGTTTCCTCGTCATTGACGCAAACGGGGCAAGCAACGTCATGGTTTTGCTCGCCATTCTTTCTGTCCTTGAAGCGAATTGTGATGTGATTACCCAGGGCATCAGAGCGCGGTTTGAACAGAGTAGAAAGATCTTCCGCACCAAGTCCGCAGACAGTAGATAGTAGGTATGCGGTCAAATATATCAGAAATCTGGCTCTCCACAGTCCTTATAGACACGTTATCATAGCCCCTAGCCCCCTGACCAGTCCCCGGTTACGTGGCCAGCAGGGGCGTCCTGACAGTTTTCCACCACAGATTTTGCTTAGTACTTTTCTGTGTACCAATATATGACTAAATAATGCTAACCAGTTTTAAAATACTGTTTCTATGCCATCGCCTTTCGTTCTTATGGAGGATTGCAAACTCTTCTTTGACCTTGGGTTCAGTTAGAATCTCCTCTCCCTGCCTCCAGGGTCAGGCTGCACGCTAGGATACTGGCGCTACAACTTGCTGGACACTGCCGGCGCTGGTGTAGACTACACGCAATGTCTGCCGGCGCCGATTAGCGTGACATTACAGACGCTGAAGACTTGGGTGGCATCGATTGAGGCCCTTTGGCCCATCTTCGCTTTCCGAAGCTCACAGCAGCTCAGGTACCTTTTATACGCTGCTACGAGACATTGATATGTTGGGCGAAACCTACTCATGAACATGTGATGTGATTTGCCTGAAAATTGTCGTCCGCAACACCTCTCACCGACTCTTTCCGGTACCGCCCTTGATTAAGCACACTCCTTGTCTAGTGGAGAAAAATCAAAGCAACACCGGTAAAATACTCAGCATGTACACAACGCCAGCACTCATGTCAGTCGAACGACTCACTCAGTCTTTTCAACACCCACACTGTCCAATGATATCGCTCTGACACGTACTGTGCCTAAGAGGGTGACCCGTCCTGCGCAATGCCCTCGAAGTCGGTGGCAGTAACATGATGTTTGGTCGTACTTTATGGGCGCATGCGGCATGCCTCTGTGTATCCCTGTCTGGCGAACTGACACCCAAAATAGGGACTGTTAGTGTTGTCGCATCAAGCATTCGTTCGGTGACATTTGGTTGACCACGCAGCGTGCCTCCTATGTGCACGCAAGGTTTGCTGCAAGGACTACCGACTGCATGAAGGTGAGGAAGTCATGACGACTCTCCATGTTCCGAGGTCGCGCTCTCTCTGTGTGTCACCAGACTTGGGGGCCACGGCAGCCGTCAACGGTGACGAGTGCTGTAGTAAGACAGAGGGCGCGCTAGTCCCGATACGTCCTGACGGATGAGACGTCGGCCCACCACATCGTCAGGCTTTGGGTTGAGATCCTTGTCCTGGAACCTGGAGACGGGATGGAGGGTTGTTTGGTTGTCAGGACACTTCCCCCATTGCTGTCTTCCAGCCAGACGGACTAGCGAACCCGATCTGGGGGTTATCAGCCTACGCTCTGTATTGTGGAGGAGGCCAGAGGCAATGCGCCCGTCCGTTCCATTCCTAGGGGAGGCCCCAGAGATATCCCACGGCCGGCTGCGAGGCAGTGACTGGGGAGGTTTCTGACGTGTGTTGAGGGGCGGTTTGCCATGTCCTCTTCGTCGTTCGAGGATGTCCCGTCCGTCTTCGCTCAGACAGCAGTGGGTAGCACATTGCATAGCAGGACTCGCTGGCTGCATGCACTACATGAAGCTCGCCTTGTATGGTGTCTGGGGGAACGTGAAGCCTAACAATGTCTTGATCCATATGGACGACAACGCATGGCTCATTGATCTCGGAGGATGTTACACGGTGGACTGGGCCGATAGGGACTTGCATGGTCTAGCCCAGAATCTGGAGTTTCCATCTAGGTCGTCTGGGATGTGACAAAGGGACTAGTAAAGAACTAGGAAAAATGGAGAAGGCTTCTTGATGAACGAAATGGCCTCGTCTAATGAAATTGTCTGTATTACCCACCCTGCACCTCACCTACCAAGCCTACCTAGGTAGTAGGCTAGGTACCGTGCCCATACCTCGCCATCGTTCGGCGCTGGCCGGACCTGTCACTGCGTTTGCACCGCCGCTGCTGGACGTGTACCTGCTGCTGTACCTGCTGCTGCACTGCACCACTGCACCACCGACTGTACCACTGCACCACTGCATCCCTGCATCCTCTACGCCTCCTTCTACTGCGGCGCGACGGCCTCGTCATGGACGCGTGAACCTTTCTCATGTTCCTTTTCCCGCTGTCCCAACTCTCCGCACCAACCGGCCGCACCTTGCCTGATGCCCTCCCCTTTTGGGCCTGCATTCCACGTCCAGTCTTCCCCTCCCCCCAACAAAGACGTCAGTCATTTTTCTTCGTTTCCTGGGGTTTCTGCCGGCTTTCATCCACCCCCTCGCTGTTTCCATTGGCCCTCTGGTTCGCTCCTAGTACATGGTAGCCCCGTGACCGTGCCTCCACCCCCCTAATTCGGAAATCCACCTCCTTGTCCACCGTCCCATCCCATCGGCCTTTCGCTCCGTCCTGTACGCCCCAACGGAACCCTCGACAACACTCCTTTCCGTGGAACCTCCTGCAAACACGACCGCTGTACATGGCTGTGCGATTCCCCGACATGAGAAATACCGTCGAAGGCCTCAATGGCGCTGGCGGCGCGGCCTATGTCAACGGCAGCGGCAACGGCATGACCAACGGCAACGGCGCCTTGTCGCATCGACAGAAGATGAACCGCAAGGCCTCGAGCCCCATGGCCCCCGCCTTCATGGTCTCTGCGCCGGGCAAGGTCATCGTCTGCGGTGAGCACGCCGTCGTTCACGGCAAGGTGCGTCTCTGGTCTCTCTCTCGAACCAGCGTCTTGTCGACCTGCTTGCTAACAAAACCTGCCTGCCTCCCCCCCCCAGGCCGCTATCGCTGCCGCCATCTCGATGCGATCCTACCTCCTCGTCACCTCGCTCTCCAAATCCAGGAGAACCGTCTCACTCCGCTTCCCCGACATCGACCTCGAACACACATGGAACATTGACGACCTGCCATGGCCCCTCTTTCACAGCCCCGAGAAGAAAAAGTTCTACTACAGCCTCGTCACCGACCTCGACCACGAGCTCGTCGAGGCCATGCAGCCACACCTCGTCGGCATCTCGCCCGACAAGCCCGAAGAGCTGCGCAAGGTGCACCAGAATGCCGCCTCGGGCTTCCTCTACCTCTTCCTGTCCCTCGGCCACCAGTCGTTCCCCGGCTGTCTCTACACGCTCCGCTCGACCATCCCGATCGGCGCCGGCCTCGGCAGCAGCGCCTCCATCGCCGTGTGCGTGGCGACGGCGCTGCTGCTGCAGCTGCGCACGCTGTCGGGCCCCCACCCCGACCAACCGCCGGACGAGGCGCGGTTGCAGATTGAACGCATCAACCGCTGGGCCTTTGTCTACGAAATGTGCATCCACGGCAACCCGTCCGGCGTCGACAACACCGTGTCGACGCAGGGCAAGGCCGTCGTGTACCAGCGTCCCGACTACACGAAGCCGCCCCTCGTGCGGCCGCTGTGGGACTTTCCCGAGCTGCCGCTGCTCCTCATCGACACGAAGCAGTCCAAGTCGACGGCGCGCGAGGTGGCCAAGGTGGCCAAGCTGAAGGACACGCACACGAAGCTCGTCGGCAGCATCCTCGACGCCATGGACAAGGTGACGCAGTCTGTGACGAGCCTGATCGACGACGAAGACTTTGACAGCGAGGAGGAGGAGAGCCTGCGCAAGGTGGGCGAGCTCATGACGATCAACCACGGCCTGCTGAACGCGCTCGGCGTGTCGCACCCGCGGCTCGAGCGCATCAGGGAGCTCGTCGACCACGCCGACATTGGGTGGACAAAGCTCACGGGGGCCGGCGGCGGCGGGTGCTCGATCACGCTGCTGCGGCCGGGGGCGCCGGCCGACAAGCTCGAGAGGCTCCACAGCCAGCTCGACGAGGAAGGCTACGTCAAGTTCGAGACGACGCTCGGCGGCGACGGCGTCGGCGTGCTGTGGCCGGCGGTGCTCAAGAACGGCATGGACGAGGACCACGAGGGCGGCATGGAGATTGACCTCGAGAAGTTCCTCAACGCCGAGGGCAACGTGGGCGTCGAGCGGCTCGTGGGCGTGCACGGCGGCGTGGGGGAGAGGGAGGGCTGGAAGTTCTGGCGCGTCGAGAGCCTGTAATGGGGGGTGGTGCCAAGGCGCGACGACGACGACGACGACGACGCCAACGAAGAAAGAGGAGAAAGAGAGAAAAAAAAAAAGCCAGTCAACAGGGGAGGGCGTTCACCGAAACACACGCAGCAAAAGGGGCGCATCATGAGGGTTGGGAAGGACTCGCCTCTGCCGGGGGGGGGGGGGGGGGGCGTGGTACTGTATTCCTTTCATGTGGCGTCAAGAAAACGGGGCAGGTGGTGGGCGGACTGGGCCAACAAGAGCAAAGCCAAGGAAGGCATTCATTCGCATGTATTGTTGTATTGCTATCATGGGAGGGAGGAGTATTGCAGGGTTCGACCAGCGGCTGTGTCGAGGGCTTAGACGACGTACCTTGCGGTTCCCAGTTAGATCCATTTAATCATCAGGCTAGAAGCTGTGTGAAAGCATACGTCTATTGAACCGGAGTGGCATGGCGTTGGGGCCTATTGATTGTTCGGCGCAAGTCATTGTTCGGAGCCCCTTTTCTGGGCTGACGGCGAGGCCTCTCCTCTATATACGCTCCACAAGGCTGGCGGCCCCCCCGCAAGGCTGGCGGCCCCTGGCAGGCCCTGGCAGGCCCCTCCACTATCGCACTATCGGCTGCTTGCCTGGCTGCTGGCTTCTGTGGTTCGAGCAATTCTCTCCGGCTTGAGCTCACCGAGGTGCTACAGCTCTGGCTCCCAACACCAGGTCGCCAACCCCTCTCTCCATCGGCGCTCCCCCCCGCGCTCTTCCGACACGACATGCCACCGAAAGCAAAGGTTGGCTCCAAACCCAAGGAAGCCGAGACGAAGAGTATGTTCATTGCCCATTGTTCTCGTATTGTTCTGGGCAGCCTGGCCTGCCTGACCCCCCCTCCTCCTCCTGCATCCTGCCTACCGTCCTTCTCCCTCCGCCAGGCTCGTCACATATAATCCCCCCTCACTGCCAAAACATTTCGATTCACCGACTCTTCATCACCGTGCTTCTTTTTCTCGACTCTCCAGGCTCCTTTACTGACCCTTTCCCCCCTCGCTCCAGCCAAAGACGAACCGCTACCCCCGCCCACCACAGCCAACGAGCAGACCAGGTACCGCTTCTACGCAACCAACCCCGCCGAGCACCGCCGCGAGCAGCTCGGCCTCGACGCCCTCAGCCCCGCCGAGCGCCAGACCTGGGCCAACGCCGCCTTCCTCCCACGCCTCGCCGCGCGCCAGGTCCACCTGCCGCCCAAGGCCGACCGCGAGTTCTGGAAGCAGGCCGCCCGCGAGTCGCTGCCGCCGCGCCGCCTCCGCGCCGCCGCCGGTCAAAAGACGCACGCCTGGGGCCCCGACCGCCACGGCCGCGACATCGGCGACCTCCCGCTCGACCAGTTCGCCGAGCGCGCACGCAGGCAGGCGAGCCTCGCCGCCCTCGAGGCGCTGCACCGCCGGTTCCGCCAGAGGCGCGAGTTGGCCGAGAGCGGCCTGCTGGGACCTGACGGCACGGCGCGCGCGCCGATCACGCGTGACGAGATTGACGAGGAGAGGCAGCGCCGGCGCACCATGGCGGAGCTGAAGGAGGCGCTGTATGGCGAGAAGATGGGGCCGTACGCCACGGACCCGGACTGGGATGATGTCGTGCCCGTGCCGTCGGATGAGCCCGAGGGGTCGCTGGCTGCCATCGCCTACCCGGAGCACTATGCTGAGAGTACGTACTGCCCATGTCCGCACGAGGCGTCAAGGGGGAGGGGGACCGCCACGCAGCCACTACTGACACGAACAAAAGTCATCAGCTACCTGCGCGCCGTCATGGCCGCCGAGGAGCATTCCCCCCGCACGCTCCGGCTCACGGAGCACGTCATCGCGATGAACCCGGCCCACTACACCGTGTGGCTGTACCGGTTCAGGATCATCCAGGCGCTCGACCTGCCGCTCGACGACGAGTTTGCCTGGCTCAACGGCGTGTCGCTCGACCACCTGAAGAACTACCAAATCTGGCACCACCGTCAGCTGCTGCTCGACCACGTGCACGCGCGCATCGGCTCGGACGCGGCGGCGGTCAAGAAGCTCGCGCACGACGAGTCGCACTTCCTGCGGCTCATCCTCGCCGAGGACACGAAGAACTACCACGTCTGGAGCTACCGGCAGTACCTCGTGCGGCGGCTCGGCCTCTGGACGGCGCAGGAGCTCGCGGCGACGCAGACGTTCGTCGAGGACGACGTGCGCAACAACTCGGCCTGGAGCCACCGCTTCTTCGTCGTCTTCAGCGACCCGGCCGCCTCGACGCCCGGCGCCCACGCCACGGCGCCCGACGCCGCCGTGCCCGCGGCGACGGTCGACCGCGAGATCGCCTACGCCCGCGCCAAGATCGCCGTGGCGCCCCAGAACCAGGCCCCCTGGAACTACCTCCGCGGCGTGCTCGTCAAGGGCGGGCGGCCGCTCGCGAGCGTCGAGAGCACGGCCGTCGAGTACGTGTGGCGCGTGGGCGAGGCGGACGGCGAGGACGTCCGGAGCAGCCACGCGCTGGACTTCCTGGCCGACGTGCACGCGGAGAAGGGGGAGACGGACGAGGCGGCCACGTGTCTGGACCGGCTCGCGGAGAAGTGGGATCCCATCAGGGCGGGGTACTGGCGGTATCGCAAGGCGCAGCTCGCGTAGGCTGGCGCGTTGGGTGCTTTGGGTCTGGAGGCTTTGGGTCTGGAGGCTTTGGGTCTGGAGGCTTTGGGGGGTTCACTATGATGTAACGACCTCGCGTATTCGGACGCATCACAATCACTAGTCTGTTGAACATGATGTGCATTCCATGTGAATCAATGCAGCTGTGACCACTTTCCGGTCTACAGCAGAGTACAAAGTGCCAAAAAACGCCTTCCATGCTTTGCCCCCATGCCGATCCCCAACGCCCACCCCCCGCTGCGCCCTCCCCGCCTCCCAGCGACAGGCGGAGAAGGTAGGTAGGTAGCCACCAACTAGAAGTGCAGCCGTGCAACGAGAAACGCACTACACCGCAGCTACAGAGAGCGAAAGTTCTGGCTCGAAATGAGCCACCGGCGGGCGCCTTTGGGCGCGTTCCGGCCAAAGGTGTCCCAGTTGGGCACGAGCACAAAGACCTCGTTGAAGGTCTTGGCGGGCGCCTCGCGGCCGCGTCCGTAGTAGAGCCGGCCCGTAACCTGGACGAGGACGCTGCACTTGGCGCCCGTCTTGTCGGGCGTGTCGGCGATGCCGGGGGGCGCGGCGACGACGTAGTCGGCGTTGACGACGTGGGCGTCGAACGACTCGAGCTCGAGGCGCACGAGGGGCGTCGTCGAGGCGGCCGACGACGAGGCGGCCTTGGGGCCCGGCATGCCGGGGAGGGGCGCCTCGTGGTAGTGGTCGTCGAGGAGGCGGGCGTAGGCGGCCGGGTCGGTGAGGGGCAGGCCGTTGATGGAGATATCGGGCGGGTGCGAGGCGTAGGAGGTCGAGGCGGTCGTGTAGAAGGCGGCGATGGCGGAGGGCTTGCGGCGGTTGAGGGCGTCGTAGTAGGCGTCGACGAAGATTTTGGCGGCTGCCTCGTCAGCATCTGGTCACGGCCTTCTCTGGCAGCATTCTGACAGGAGTCTGGCAGCATTCTGGCAGCATTCTGACAGCCTTGTGAGAGCACTCTGACAGCTTTCTGACAGCTTTCTGGCAGAGGGAGGAGGGACGTACTGTCGCTGGCCTGCTTGATCTGGACTTCGCGCGTGGGGAGCGACATGGCGGCGGTGGCGGGGACGGCGAAATGTATCACTGGATCGGTCGAGGGTAGCCGGTGTGTTGTCTGTTCCCGTGACAGCTCTGCAATGGTCTGCGATGGCTCGGCACGGGACAGCTGTGAAGAAGAAGCGCAGCAACGGGCAGCTCTGCAGAGTCGAAAGTTGGTGGGGTCGCGTTCGCTGATAAGGATAAGAGCTTGCACAGTAATCCGAATCACTCGACTCGACGAGCCAAACACTGTGATGTGATCGTCTCGCTCGGCTCCTGCTCTGCCTCAAACCATCCATCCCCTGACAACACTTTTCTTCACTTCACTTCGGCCACCATCACATCGAAGCCGCCACTCGCTTGGCCTCGCCTATGCCATCATGAGGCCAATACGTCTTGCTGCAGCGAGGGCTGCCCGTCTGCCTCTGCGCCGACCATCACAGACGACACGCTCCGGCTGGGTCTGCCCGTCTTGTCACCACGGCCAGACACGCCGGAGCAGCAGTGGTAGCAGTGCCAGCGGCAGCAGTGCCCATGTGAAGCCCTTCTACGTGACGTCGCCCATCTTCTACGTCAATGCTTGTATGTAGCTGCTTTCCTGGGACGCCAGACCGTGGCAGACAGCCCACTGACGGCAGACAGCCCCCCATGTCGGCCACATGTACACCATGATCCTCGCCGACAGCCTCAAGCGCTGGCAGACGCTGCGCGGCCGCGACGCCCTCTACTGCACGGGCACCGACGAGCACGGCATGAAGGTGCAGCGCGCCGCCGCCAAGCAGGGCATCCCGCCCAAGGCCTTCTGCGACAACAATGCCGACAAGTTCCGCCAGCTCGCCGCCGCCTGCGGCCTCGACAACGACTTTTTCGTGCGCACCACCGACGCCGACCACGTGGATGCCGTGCAGCACTTCTGGCACCTGCTGCGCGCGGGCGGCCACGTGTACGAGTCGACGCACAGCGGCTGGTACTGCGTCAGCGACGAGTGCTTCTACGCCGAGGACGAGGTCGAGCGCGCCATCGTGCCGCAGACGGGCCGCACCATCATGGCCTCGATCGCCACGGGCAGCGAGGTCGAGTGGACCGAGGAGAAGAACTACCACTTCCGCATGAAGGCCATGCGCGACAGGCTGCTGCAGTTTTACGACGACAACCCCGACTGGATCGTGCCGCGCGCCCGCATGAACGAGGTCGTCAGCTGGGTGCGCCACAACCTCGAGGACCTGTCCATCTCGCGGCCCGTGAGCCGCCTCGACTGGGGCATCCGCGTGCCCGACGACCCGTCGCAGACCATCTACGTCTGGGTCGACGCCCTCATCAACTACCTCACCAAGGCCGGCTTCCCCGCCTGGGCCCCGGGCGACGAGCACAGCGGCGGCTGGCCCGCCGACGTGCACGTCATCGGCAAGGACATTGTGCGCTTCCACGGCGTCTACTGGCCGGCCCTGCTGCTCGCCGTCGGCCTGCCGCCGCCGAAACAGCTGCTGAGCCACGCCCACTGGACCCTCGGCAAGAAGAAGATGAGCAAGTCGGTCGGCAACGTCGTCAACCCGTTCCAGGCCATCGAGCGCTGGGACCTCGACACGATGCGCTACTTCATGCTGCGCGACGGCGGCCTCGAGAACGACGCCGACTACGAGAACCGCTTCATCTTTGCGCGCTACGAAAAGGACCTGCAGTGGACGCTCGGCAACGCGCTGAGCCGCATCACGCGGAGCACCAAGTGGAACGTCGCCGACGCCGTCCGCTGGGCGCGGGACCACCACCAGGCGGCGGCGGCGCACGGGGCCGACGTCGAGGTCGAGGTCGAGGCGTCTGCCGACGCGCCGCAGAGCCGACAGCGCCGCCTCGCAGCCCTCGTCGACGAGACGCCCAGGGTCATGGCCGCCGCCATGGAGACGGACCTCAACCCGAGCGCGGCCATCAAGGCGGCCATGACGCTGCTCATCGAGGCCAACAAGTTCATCGCCGACAGCGCGCCGTGGGACAGAACAAAGGTGCCCTCCGACGCGGCGCGGAACGCGATTGTGTTCCACGCCGCCGAGGCGCTGCGCGTCGCCGGCGTCCTGCTGCAGCCGTTCATGCCCGGCAAGATGGGCGAGATGCTGGACATCCTCGGCGTGCAGCCCGCGCGGCGGACCTTTGCCCATGCGACGTTTGGCGGCGACGTCGAGTACGGGGCGCGCAAGGAAGCGGCGGCGCTGCCGAGGGGCAAGTGGACGGGCCTCTTCCCGCCGGCCGTGGCGACTGATTAGCTCATGAGGCCGGCAGGATGAGAGGTTCGAGGCATTGTCAACATGACATGTAGAACACGGCATGTACAACACGAGATGTAAAACAAGGTGTGTACCAACATGGAGAGGAGGCATCAATCAGATGGAGAGGCATATGGTGTAATGTCAAATGTACCTTTTTTTAAGGTAGGCAAGAGAATAGTCAAGACAAGGCAGCCCAGCACCGCTCGAGGCACACGTTCTCGTCCATGGTAGTCTCTTTCGTGTTTGTACGTCAATTCGACTCGCAGTGGGCATCCGTCAGTCCCAGATGGTGTTGGCGACCTGATGTCGGGCAGGTACGAGGCAGCGCCCTTGTGTGAGGTTTATCCGACCCCGATTTTCTATTTCCCATTTTCTATTTCCCATTTTCCACTTTCCTCTTTCCACTTTCCTCTTTCCACTTTCCAGTCCGACCATCCCAACCCGACCATCCCTCTCAACCTCGCTCATCCACCACAGATCGCATCTGCCGAGACCATCGGACGACAAAGCGTGACGAAGAATGAGGCTCAACGAGAAGACAGGTTCGTTTCCATCGTCCCATGTGTCAAAATGCACCCTTCGACAGGACCACCCCACTGAAGCGACAACAGCCATCGCCACGCCACAGGTGACCCTCGTCCCCTACGAGGCCCGCCATGTCGCCAAGTATCACCGCTGGATGAGCGATCCCGTACGTCCTCGTGCCCTTGTGCCTCCTCTGCCACTCTGCAAGGCCATCTCCGCAGTGTCTGTGTCTGAACATAGCTCCAGGACATTCAAGCGGCGACGGCGTCGGACCCCCTCTCTCTTGAAGAAGAGTACGAGAACCAGGCGTCGTGGCGCACCGCTGACGATAAACTCACCTTCATCATCTGTCGGCCAGTAGCGGCTGGGGCAGCATCGACGGAGATCACCGCTGGCACGGCAGACCACGAGGACGCCATGGTCGGCGACGTCAACTTCTTCCTGTACCCCCATGACGACGAGGACGACGATGAAGGCAAAGACGAGGGTGCTGCCGAGCCACCGGATTTCGTCGGCGAAATCGACGTCATGGTCGCCGAGAAGGGAGATCGTGGACGTGGCGTCGGGTTCGGCGCCGTCACGGCCTTGATGGAATATGTGCTCCGCCATGTCGACGGCATACTGCGAGAGCATGGTCCGCGCAGCGGCGCGAGGGTGCCGCGGCTGCGGGGTCTGATGGCCAAGATCCAGGCCGGCAACGACAAGAGCATCGCGCTGTTCAAGAGAGTAGGATTCACGCAAAAGGGCGGCGTCAACTATTTCGGCGAGATGGAAATGGTGCTGGATCGATTTGAGGAGAGGATGAGGTCGGGCGAGTTGGCGTGGCGAGCTGAACTGGAGGAGACGTATCGCGAGCTTGTGTATACGGCTTGAGTGAGCTGGAGGCTCATCAGAAAAAATGGCAAGTGCATTCCCTATCCATCAAATCGCTACGTATTGACCATGTACTCCAGTGTCAGTCATTCTCGCCTTCATCATCCCCAGCCGCATCAACGCCCTCATCCTCAGACCATGTGCGCATACGTAGCCTTGTACTCCTCGAGCACCTCGAGACTCACATTCGACCCTCCGCACACGACGACGACGACATTCTTCCTGCGCCACTCATCGTCCGACAGCCCGCGCCCGAGCCTCTCCCGCAAAGCACCGTTGTAGCAGACGGCAACCGTCGCGCCGCACGCCACCTCGACGACGAAGCGCGCATCGTGCGCGAACCGCACGCACGCCATGGCCGCCTCGGCATCGCTGACAACGAGACTTTCGAGCCCCGCCGGCGCCATCTTGCCGCCCCCACGCTCTGCCTGCCGGCGCGGGCCCAGCACAGCCTTGCGCTGCGCCCCCTCCCACGTCCGCTCGGACACGCGCACGGCGCCGAGGCTCGTGGCGATGGACGTGATGGCCGGCAGCGTGACGAGGCGTCCGGCCTCGACGCTCGCATGGAGGCTATCGGCGCCGCGCGTCTCGACAGCCACGACGGTCGGCGGGCGGCCGCGCGGCCACGGCGCCGACGCGCCGCCGTCGCGCTCCACGTCCTCGAGACCCTGCAGCAGGCCGTTGACGAGCCCGCCGCCGCCGACAGACGCGACGAGGGCGTCAATGTCGACATGCGGCGGCGTCTGGCGCGCGAGCTCGTCGACGAGCGTCGCAGCGCCGGCCCAGATGTCCGGGTGGTCGAACGGCGGCACGTAGACGCCGTGCGGGTCGCGCGCCAGCAGGTTCGCGCGCAGGTGCCGGTCGGCTTCGATCCACGAGTCGCCGACCTGCGAGACGTGCGCGCCGAGGAGGCGCAGGCGCGCGATCATGACCTGCGGCGTCGGCGTCGGCGTCACGATGGTGGCGGCGAGGCCGAGGGCCGCGGCCGAGGTCGCGCAGGCGAGACCGGCGTTGCCGCCCGAGGAGCAGTAAAAGTGGACGTCGGGGGACGCCGAGGCGGCGGCGGCGCGGAGCACGAGGTTGCCCACGCCGCGGGACTTGAAGGAGCCCGAGGGCTGGAGGTTTTCGAGCTTGAGAAGGATGTTGCTGTTGCTGCTGTCAGATGCGTCGTTCGGGGCATGCTGTGCACAGGGGGGGGCATGCTCACCAGCCGGCGGCACGGGACAGTTCAGGGGAGGATATGAGGGGGGTTTCGATCCAAGGCAGCTTCGCCTCTGCGCTGATGGAGCCCATGTGTCTGGCGGTACGCGGGAATGGGATGCAAAGGTCAGGATATGGAAGCCGAGATGCAACAGAACAGGGACAGGATACAACAAAGAGATGATGTACTATCGAGTCCAAACTCAGGAGGCGTCAAAGAAGAGGGAGAAGACGGGGACACCGACATGATAGTCCCCCCCCCTATAGACTTTATACATACGTACACCAGCCCAAACCCATCTATCCATTCCTCTCCGTTCTTCCACTCTCTTCAGTCGCAACGAGAAATACAAAACAGTCCAGCTGTGCTCAGTATCATCACGACGTAGACACGGCCGTCGACCCCATGTCCCCACCCCCCCCTTTCTCCTCCTCCAGAGACCCGCATTCTATAGGGTAAACACTAGCAATCTATAGGGTAAACCGGGGAAAGTTATAGGGTAACCTAGAGAAAGTTATAGGGTAATCATGGTTTCCGCCCGCTGCCGCCGCGCCGCCCGAGATGGGCAACTCGAAAACAAAAACGGAAAACGAAAAAAAAAAAAACTTTGGGGCTGCTCCCCCACCCCCCCTCCCCCCTCTCTCCTTGTTGGGCACGATGGTGAATGTGTAAAGCTGACACCTGCCCTCCTGGGGGAAACTGACGCCCAGGCCCCGTGCCTCGTGCCGGCGGCGCCAATGCGTTCTCGTCAGCCGCCCCCTTTTTGCTCCATGGGGACGGGCCAAGGGGCGTGGTGATGTTGGCGTCATGGGGCAGGGTGCTGGCGTCAAGTGGGGAGCGCGGCATGGAACATGGAACATGGAACAAAGCTTTCCGTTCTTCGGTGGCGGCGAGCCACACTGCTGCTCCAAGATGGCGATGTCTCTCGGGAGGCCTTGGGGTCTTGGTGGTGAGGGGCAACATGGAAGAGGGGTCGAGGCATCGGTCATGTTGTTTTGGGGATTCGGGGACTAGCGTCGCCGCTTTAAGGAGTTGGCGACGGGATTGTACGACAGGTGCACGAACCGGCTCGATGCCTGAAGTTTCCTGTGATCGCATAGATATATTTACTTGCGTCTTCTCATGGCTAGATGGAATGTCACTGACCAACGACCATGGGGTTTCCTCAGCTCCATTGGTCTTGCCAAGCACGTAGCCATTCGTGACCGCCAACGCTCAGTCAGGACCTACTGATCCTCCTCATCCTCTGACATCTCCAGAATACCCTCTCGTACGACCCTGACCCTGACCTTCATGCCCCACGCCTTCTTCCTCTTCTTCTTCCCCGCCCAGTTCTTCTTCTTGCCTGCCTTCTCCACGACCTTGAGGTTGTCCTTGAGCGCCTCCTTGTAATGTGCGCGGTCTTTCTTTTTCTTTTGCAGCGAGATGGTCAGCACGAGCCCTGGCTTGTCCTCCGACTTGCCCAAACGGTCTGACCACTCGGCCGAGAACAGCACCCTTGGCTTCGTAAGGTCAATCTTGCCGGCTGGGTAGAGACAAGTGATGAGGTAGCCCACGCGACCCAGATACTGCGCCCACCAGACATCTTCCGGCGTCAGCGTCGAGCGCAACGCTTCGCGAAAGGCGACTTCTCGTGGCGGCAGCTCGCCTCGGTAACGCGCCTGCAGCATAAGCGCCAGCCGCGCCCTGTCCTGGTGCGATACGCCGTGCGTCGACGACATGATGCCCGTGCTCGTCGCGTAGAGCGCCGCTGTCGAGGCCGTCTCCTTGGACATGAACATGTGGAAATACATGACATTGGTGAACGAGTCGAGTACATGATTCCCAAACTCTGGTGGGAAGCGCCGGCTGGCGTCCGTCTTGGACGGTTCGGGAATGGCGTGCTCGAGCATCTTTTGCAGTTGGCGCCGGGAGCCCGGGGCGAACTGCTGCGTCGCGACCTCGAGGGGCGCCTTGCGGCGGACCGAAACGGGGAGCTGCGCAAATAGATAGCCCTCGCGGACACCGCCCTGACAGAAATGAGCCTCGCGAATACCGCCGTAAGGGATGGCCTCGGCGACGACATTGACAAGAAAGGCTACGGCGGGGACCTGCGCGCGGCGGCGATCAGACACGCGAAAGACGGCCTTGGCAGCCCGCGCCACCTCCTTGAGCGTCTCCGTGTCCTGAAACTGCTCGCGGCCGACGGTGTAGCCGTTGATGATAGAGATGGGATAGTGGTGGCCGTGGGATTGGTTGAGGTGCAACAGCAGGTAACCCCAGCCACGGAAACCGCCGCCGGAGAGATAGATGCGGAAGCCACCGTCACGACGAGCGCGCTCGATGAGGTCGTCGGGCACTTCTAGGCCGGAGAAGGCGTCGCGAAAGTTGGCGACCATCTCCTGACGAAAGTCCTCGACAGCGCGGCGAGCTTCGTCCTTATCCTTGTCCTTCTGGAGGTCGTCAAGCTTCTTCGTCAAGGCGGCGGCGCCGTAGGGAAAACTGAAGCTGCCCCGGGGGCTGATACGGACGTTTCCCTCGCGGCTGATGATCCAGGTGATCTGGGTACTGCCGCCACCGAGGTCCATGACAAGGCCATCCATGGCGAGGAAGCCGCTGGCGACTCCAAGTGCGCCAATGTGGCCCTCGTCTTCCTTCTTGAGAAGCTCAATGTCGAGGCCGGTTTCCGACTTGACAGCGGCCAGGAGCTCAGCCGAGTTTTCGGCGGCGCGTGTGGCTTCGGTGGCGACGAGATGGATCTTGTCCTTCTTGACGCCAAAATCGTTGCACACGACGAGGAAGCGGCGCAAGAGCGAGCACACACGACGAATGGTGCGACCCGGTATGGGGATCTTGGTGCCCGTCTCGGGATCGAACTGGGCATCGTACAGGGAGAGCCCGGACCGGTACATGAGGACGGTGGGCAGAATGCGACACATGCTGGCTGAGAGGTCCGAGATGGAGAAGCGGATGCCATTACTACGATCGCCAGTCAGGCGGGCTCCTGTATCATGCCAGCTTTCCGTCTACTATGTAACTCACCTTCCCATGTCGACGATGCCTACGAGCTTGTCTCCGTGACCACGCCAAGGTGGGTGACCGCCACTGTAGAAGTTTGTGGACATGTCTTCCTCGTGGCGGTCAGAATCCGAGTCGTCGTCGTCGGAAGCACAGGGCGTCAACTGGATGTCACCGCTGCTGCTGGCGTTGCTGGCGCCGCTGCTACTCTCATTGTCGCTGTCGCTGCTGCTGGCCTCAGCCATCCTCAAAGAAAGAGGGGTCCTCTCGTCCATGGCATTCGCTACAGGTTGAGCCGAGGACAACGAATGAGTGAACGGATGTTCAAGGGAGGAGAGTTCGCAGCTGATCAGAAGGAGGCAGTGTCGAGAGAATACAGTGATGTCATGGCGCTAATGACACGGTGCGGCTGAACCGCCTGACGCGGGAGGACATCCGCTTCGATGTCTGGAGCGTCTTGCGGCGTCGTGGCGTTCTGGCATGTTGTTGAGTAGTTGGGTAGGGAGATGTTTTTTTTTCGTCGGCTTCTTGAGGGCTCAACTTGGTTTTTGTGTCTAGCTGTGCCGTGGTGGATGGCGCAAGATACGTTGAATGATTACAGTGCGCTGTGGCCCTTCGTTGCACCTGCCAGGTGTAAGTGCAGGCAGTTACCACCGCCTTGTCACACCCTCCTTCCCCCCGTTGCCCACCGTACCTACCTCAAGGCATTAACCTCAGGGCATTAACCTCAGGAGTCATATGCAGTGACTTCGGAAGCTTTGTGTAACTGACTGTGTAACTTGTCACGTGGGCAGAGACCATGATGCCTGATTGATGTAAGATGCGATTTGCCTTACCCCGCAAACTCGACGATTCTCGCCACCCGGATATCAGCTGGCATCAGCATCAGAAATCTTGCCATATTTGCAACGAGACATCTACGCTTTGGCTATATTCCAAGTTTAAAAGCCTTCACTCGAATAATTTCCACACCGGCGCCACGTTTTCTAGTGGTCGAGTCACTACATGCTATGTCCTGGTAACTCCTCTTAATAGCTTTATCGTTCACTCGACGGCCACCTACGGAACAGCCCACAATGACTTCTCAGCCTGCTGCGACAGAACCTGAGACCAAGCCTCTCGAATATCAGGAGCTATCCTCGGAGGATCCAACCCTTGCCTTGCCACGCGAGTCTCCTGAAAACCTCAGGCCCGAGTCAACGGATCAGCCACCCGAAAACCCAGGGCGAAGTGGGCCTCGTGTGCCTCATGTCGAACCCAACCATATGAGCTATGCAGACGGGGATGGGATCCAGCACCACATCCACCTACCAAAAGGCACTGCGCAGCGGGCGACAAGTCTTCTCGAAGAGGAGAATTGGGTAGAGCTTGCCAAGTATCCTGCCTCAAGTAAGTGATTCTTCACAACGCGACCCTATGTTGCGGCGCTGAGTTTGTATGGCCCTATTCACAAAAGCCTGGTGGTTAACCAGTTTTGCTCCTAGACGGTCAGCAATACAGCCCCGAGGATTACTTTTACCCAAGCGATGAGCCAACCTGATAGGCGCCGGCAGAAAAGTCCTAAAGCACATCCCAAAGCTATCCATTTCGAGTTCGACGGGCACTGTGTGGCACCCCCGTGTCCTATGTCACGCGTCTCGAAGCACCCGGATGGCCGCCGAGAGAAGAGTCTGGCTGGATGCGTGAGAGAGGCTGCACATAGACAGAACTTCAATATGCACAAACAACCCCATCCATACCTAAAAGCGGCGAGAGATCCTAGCCAATTTGGTCCACCACAGTCTTCCCAATCCGGTGAACATTTCGGACCAGGCGCGGGGCGAAATCAAGCATTGGCTCGGGCGTCGATCCGACAGTAGCCGCAAAAGCCACCCCGGGTCGGCGGTTCCTGTTAGGTAACTTCAGGGAGCCCCACCCCAGGATGTTCCTCCCTTCAGAGCCTCTGAACGTGCCACGGGGTGTCAACTAGCGGCCGTTGCTGAGTCGCCGGCCGTTGGCGTCCGAATCTCGTGCCAAGCTTCCATCGTGACCACCCCTTGACCGTTGCGGGAAGGTCATGTTGGGGCTGTCTGAGGCCTGGAACATGCCTTTCGTG